ATTACTCAAAGCCCATCTCTTCTGAGCAGTGAGAAGCCCTGAAAAGGGTTAATCTCCCAGAACCCTCAAGAGTGAGGCATTCCTTCCATTTGGGAAATTAACCATGAATTGGGGTTCTCTTCCCGCATTTATTCTCCAGACCAGGAAGTTATAGGAATAGAACACAGGTGAGGTTTTTGCTAAGTACAGTTTAAGAAGTTTAACAATAGAAGCTGGCAACATTCAGTAAGTCAAGCAAGGTGACCTTCTGTCATGTAATTTGCAACAAAGGCTTGATTTTAGCAAACATCCTCTTCTTACAGCAATTTCCCAGTATCTTTACATATCAATCAGTAACCTGTCTGTCTTTGAGCCAGCAACCTTGCTGTGTTACAATTTTTTGTCTTACAACAGAGACTATAGCATGGGTAAAATTTCCTGTCCTTTGCAAGGTCAATATTTGAAACTGCAAGGCTTTGGAAAACCAGGCTCTGTGAAGTACATTTGCTTTATGCATACTCCACACAAGTTAGTATCAGTTTATTTTGGTGCAAAAGTTTTTGAACTCCATGACTAGTTTTTTCATAATATGCATTTCCACGAACTTTTTGAAGACCCCTTGTATAATGGGAATAATTTAAATAGTCTCCACTTTCTAAAATTATCCCCAAATTTATAATGTTATCAAGATGCATGTTGAGCAAAAATTCAATTGCTATTTAAAGTTTTTAAAACTAAAAATAAATGTAGATAATTCAAAAATATTTTGAGAAGAAAAGTGTCCTAAAGCCTCCTCACTGTTTCATGATTTTGAGTGGTATAGTTACATGGAGGCTCAGGAAACCTGCGAAGGGCTCACTCTACTTTTGGAATGGGGTTTCCAGGAAAAAACTCAGCCCATGAGACAGGATGAACAGGACCAGGTCTTGGTGGGAAGCCAGGTGTGGGGGGAGGTGGCAATCCACCCAGGATTCCTGGAGGGTGGGAGTTCCTCTTGTCATTAACATCCCATTTGTATCCACTGGATACACTGGATTTGGGAATGAACAGTGAAGGAGGAGGAGGAAGACCAGAAAAGAAAGTGAAAGAAGGAAAGTCCAGCAGCCAAGACGAGGTTCTGAAGGGAGGGGAGCGAGGCCCTCAGTCTCAGGGGAAGCAACACCCCATGCCCAGGGTGGGGGAGCAAATGTTCTCTGCCAAATGCTGCATCTGGATTGTCAGATGCACAAGGATCCACTTCTAGAAGCTTGACTTTTCATCGCTGTTCCATTACTTTTCTTAGATCTGTAGCCTCCTGTCTGGGGATGGTGAGGTTTTCAGCCCCTGAGCTCTCAACCGATGATCAAGAGTTTTTACTTCAAGGGACACAATCTGGCTTTGAGAAGAAGAAATGGTTATTTCCAGCTTTTCTCCAAGGTCTTCTCACTTCTTTCTGTAGGTCTCCAGCTCTTCACCTGCACGGCTCATCTTGTCACTTGCTTCTAAACATTCCTCCTTCTGCTCTGTCATGATGTGCCTTGACAGGAAATATCCTGAGAAGCTCCATTTTTTTCTGTCGACTAAGTCCAGTCACTTCATTACTCTCTCTTGAAAGTTCTGATCTGCACTATTAATCGAAGCTTGCTCAGCCTGGGCCTTTCAGGTTTTCTGTTCTCCAGCAGTGTTGGTACAGAATTGATTTTTCTTTCCATCTTGGTATTGAGATACTTTGCAACATCAGTGAGTTTCCTCCTGGCTCTGGAAGAAAGGAATCTGGTCATCAACATGGTCTCACCTCCTGGCTTTAAGTTTTCATGTGTTCTCATCCCTCAAAGATGCTGCCAATTCTTTTATCTTTAGCTCGTGTTCCTGTAGGAGCCTCATCTGCCTTTCTGCACAGGTCCTAGGGATCACTATGGAGATCCTGAGTATTTCTCCAGTTGCCTGTAAGTACAGTTTAGCTTCCTTACTTGTGTTCTGATGGATTCAGTTTCTTCTTTCAGTGCTTGGATCTTTCTTGAAGTAACAGACATGCTCTTCTTGCTGTGAGCCATTGAATTCTTTTCCCAGCTTGTTTGCTGTAAAGCATGTGATGGACCAAATCACAGGATGGGCCTGTCCAGGGCACTGGGCGATTCTGGGGTTTTGTCTTCTTCCATCAGAGGATGAAACTTGAGGATGGTTTTACATTTTACTCGAACTAGTGCTGAACTGCTAATGGTGTGCACATCTCTATGCATGGAAAATCACTTTTACCGACTGAAAAGTTCTGCCTAAAATCAAGAAAACTGTTAGTGCACACAAGAAGTAGCATGGCAAGCTCCATCCCTCATTGGTATCCAGAGAGAGTGAGGCTTGATCTCATCGTCAGGTACTTCTTCCACGAGACTGCATGTCTCCTGGGCTCACCACAGGGCTGCAGGCTGCTGCAGAGCATGGCCAGCTGGGTTATAACTTTGCAGGATTTCACCTAAAACCAAACCTGTACCAGGCAGCTAGGGCAGAATGTGCCTGGAGAGAGTGGGAAGGCAGAAACAATAGATCAAGAACTCACATGCCCTCAACCTGCCCAGGGCTCTCCCTTTCCAAAGGAACCAACCTCCCAGTCCTCTGTATCTGCCGTTCCCTCTGCCTGGACAGCCTTTGCTCTTGCTACTTGCGTGGCAGGCATGCATCCACTTGGAACCATGGGGCCTCATCACCTGTGTCTCCCCAGTACCCAGTGAAGGGCCTGGCATGGAGCAGGTGCTCTGTACTCCACACATGTCTGTGGAATGAATGAATGAGTGAGTGAGTGTATGGAGAAGCGACAAAGCCATTGCTGGCTGTCCCTGAAAACTCATGCATAATGCTCCATTGGCTTGGCAGATGGTTTCATTAGGAGATGTAGAATATCTGTACAATGTAATTGAAAATATAAACCATTCCTCAAAATTCACCCTTGGACTACTAAGAAGACCTCAGAATTATTTGAAAAATAAAATTCTCTAATGGAGATCAATTTCTGTAATCACATTTCAGTAAATTTAGAAACAAGTAACAAAAATTGAAGTGAAAACAGCAGGTGTAAAAAATCTTAAAACTCTCCCAAATAAACTTTGGATCAGAGAATCAGCAAAACCCAAACTGGACAATTACTTAGAAAATGCTAACAATAAAAATGCTGCATTTCAAAACCTGTGGAGCAGAGCTACTGATGTTCAAAGAGGAAAATTCAGAGCATTTAGTCCTTAAGATGAAAGAGTGAAAATGAACCAGACAATTGAGCAGCCAGCTAACACGTCAGAAATGGAAAAAAGGAAACTCGAGCAAAGCAGAGTAATGGAAGTACTATTGAAACACAATGTTTTAGAACTCAGAAAATCTGGGGGCTTGATAAAATAATCAAAGAGCTAATTATAGGGTGGCTATAATTTTTCCTTTTAAGCAGAGAAGGCAAAAATACTGTGTTGAAAATGAGAAAGAATAAAAAACCAAAGACGTAGAAGAAAATAGATTTTCAGAGCTACCTTCTAGAGCTCTGTGGGTAGGTGGAGAAAAGGGGAGCTGGCTGGTGGCGGCTCTGGCCTGGGCTTCTGGTCACCACCCTTTCCACGCCTAACCTGTCACCCCCACCCCCACCTCCATGAACATTCCAGCCCCTCCTGGTGGGGCCGCCTAGTTTCCTGGGACAGGAAATAGAAAATTCTCATCTAGGCTGCAAGGTGGCTGGGACACACCAGCTGGTGTGAGGCTGGCCAGCCTGGGCTGGGGCCACCGCTGGGGTGCATTTCCTGTCCTGGGGGGTTGGAGGCCATGCTTTGCCTCATTGGTACTTTTCTGTGCCTGTATCTACTAAGAAAGGTATTTTTAAAAAAGTAAAACGACAGGTTCTGGCTCTAAAGGTCTCTATCGGTTGATTACTATGAAGACTGAGAAAAGTGCAGACCTTGCCTTTGGGACATACGCGCATGAGTTTGTGGGAGGAAACAATGACAGAGTGACCAGGGACAAAGCCATTGTTTGCTGACCTCGAGGATGACATACAAACCTGTGGGCTCTGCCAATGGTTTTCCCAGAAGAGCTTAAAACCCCAGTGGAAAAAACCCTAGTCCCTGGGAGGTGTTACGTGTCCTAGGATAGTGTTAAATTTAAAAGCTACTTACGCTCAAATTCACCACGTCCAGAAGCAGGGATCTTAATGACCCCCGCCCCCCCCCTGCTTTGCCTCCCCCTTCTCCATCCAGCTAAGTGGACCCTCCCTCACCCAGAGCTGCTCAAGACAGAACCTAGAGGTCCTTCCTGCGTTCCCTTCCCCAGGCTAACTCACATGCAAACCACGACGAAGCCTTGTCGCGACGACCTCTGAAACGTTTCCTACATCCACGCAGCTCCCTCCTTCTCCACGACTTCCACCCTGGTCAAAGCCACCAGGATTTCTGGCCTGGAGCATTGCAGCAGCCTCTTACACAGTCTGTGTTTCTGCTCTTTTTCCCTTTGGGAGTTCCTCGTGGACCACCTGGAGTTAGCTTCTAAATGTGAATGGACCATCACCACCCTCCTGGTTAGAACCTTCTAAGGCTGGCCATTAGATTGGTGACAAGACCCAGACTCCCTTCCCTGGAAGGCTGCACAGGGCCTGGCTCTGCTGCCCTTGGCAACCTCGGCCCTGGCCATTCTCCCCCTCGCACACTGTGCTTCTGCCACGACCTGCTCCTCACGTTTGCCCCTGCCTTAGGGACGTGCGTTAGCTCCCTCTCCTGCGATGCGCGCCCCCGAGAGACAATGACTCTCTTTCAGTTGTCTGATTTCAGCTTAAACACAGTCTCTCTGGACTTGATATATGGCTCTGCCACTGTTCACTCTCTCACATCTGCCTGTTATATTTTCAATATATTATGTGCAAGTGACATAGAAGTCTTTATGCATTTCCATACGTGTATAGAAATGGCTGGCCATGACAAGGTCACTGTCCTATGTCCTTTTAGCCTAGAACCCAGACAAGGATTTGGGGTAATATCCTGTCTTACCAGATGTGCTATGGATCTTTTTCCAGCTGTTCTGGATCAAGGAGAACCTTATTCCCAGATGCTTACTAAACACTCGCGTCCTGACTGCAAGGTCGTCCTGGCCCTCGTGCCTCTCCATTCTCACTGTCATCTTGCTGTTTGTTTTGGCCTGTAGACCTCTGAGGGGGTGGGGGACAAAGGGAAGGACAGCGGTCTTGGGAACACTGTCCTCAGCAGCCTGGAGCCAGCCTTGCTAGGGCAAAATCCTAGGGGGCAGTGGCTTTCCTCCAAAGTCACCCACTTTTAGTTTTTTTGTGAAATCTGATTTTCAATCCTGTTCTCAGTTTCTTCTAGACATGTTTTGTGACCAGTAAATGTCAAGTGAAAGTCTTGGTCAGAGGGGAAATTTAGAGGTCAAATGTATATAAGATGGCAAGGGAAAGGTGTCAAGGTTATGCCACTCGGCACAATTTCTAAGGAGCGAGACTGGGACATTTAAGAGACACTGTCCAGGCCACAGGACCTCATGGGACAAGAGAGCAAGACAAGGAGGAAACCCAGGCAGTTCAGCGGTGGGTTTGCCTTCTACCAACAGCACGAGCGGAGGGCTGATGTGGCGGGCCTGCGACCACACCCAGCCCAGCGCCTGCTGGGCTGCTCTGCACACACTCCTCCTGGTGGCCCTGGCACGGCGGGTAAGCAGAGCACATGGTCGTCTGGAGCTCAACCACCTGTGGTCCCCTGGCTCCCTAGGGCGCAGGGAGGCCTTTGTGCCTTAGTTTTTTCCTTTTTAAAAACGAAACCACTCAGCCTGTGTTCTCTCTTCTTACGTGGTCCCCTGGCTCCCTAGGGCGCAGGGAGGCCTTTGTGCCTTAGTTTTTTCCTTTTTAAATACGAAACCACTCAGCCTGTGTTCTCTCTTCTTACTTTTTTTTTTGTCTTTTTTCCGTGTCCGGCAACGGATCACAACCCTCAGTGTTGCGCCCGGACCGGACCGGGACCGGCAACGGGATCGCAACCCTCGGTGTTGCTCCCGCCCCTCGCTCAGCCAGTGAGCGGCCGGTCTGTATGTGGGATCCGAACCCTCGGCGGGAGCACCGCCGCGCTTCCCAAGTGGCGCACTATAGCAGTGCGCCACCGGGCCGGCCCCGTGTGTGTTCTCTCTTCTAAAAGAAGAGCAAGGACGATCATCAGTGGTAAATGGCAGTTGCAATAAAACACCACCAAGAACCAGCCTCGCGCTCAGGAGAGAACACGACACCTCCTCCTCGTGGTCTGGGTGCTCCAACACATTCAGAGAAACTTCTCTAGTAACGAACTATGGAAATGGCCCCTGAAAGTACAGTCTTGGGGCTTTGTGCCTCAGGAAGGAATGAGTGCTGGGAAGGGACGTTTGGAGTGACGCACACAAGGGTGCTTTGGAACCGTGGGTTGGGGACTCCCATCCTGCTTTTAATCAGATCGAGAGTGTAAATAATAAATCCAGAGTCACACCTGCATTGTCCCATGTGTTCTCCTCGTTGTCATCACAAGCATCCGGAGAGGCAAATGCCCTGCACGGGGTGGTCCGGAGGGAGCCATCAGGCAGGCTGTGGCTTGTCACTGCCTCCCCAGGGGCGTGGGGCCTGCTCAGAGTATGAAGTGTACGGAGCCGGTGCCATACACTTTCTGTTTCGTCATCAGTCACCAAACACATGTGACTTACTTTACTTACTTAAATTGCTTATTAAAGTACCATATCAGCTACTGGTGAAACAGGAACTTACTCGTTTTCAATGGCAAATAAACACCAGAATGATGTTTACTGGGGTCAGGTGTGAGGCCCATCAGATCACTTAGTGGAGCCACCTCTGAGCCGCTGGCCTCCTGGCCCCATTGATGGGGGTGCCCTTAGGAGGCCGCGCGCAGCTAGAGGCTGAGTGATGCGCCTGCGCGCCAGGCGTCCTCTCCCATCCCACCGTGAGGGCCCTGCTGGGGACATACTGCCATGCTCGCTCCTCAGGCACCCTCCTTCCCTCTGGGCCCTGGCCCATAGGTGTTGATAAAGTCCCTGTGTGACACTAGGCCACTGGATTACTGGCAAGAGGGGTTTAAGCCGAGGCCCCCAAGAGTAGGATCCTCATGATAGGCTGCCTGTCCCTGAGCCATTGAGATTGTGAGGACGGACTCGCTCCCTCTGTCACCACTCGAATCCTCACGCCCTTACCATTTGCCCCCATGCTGCTCTGAGAGCCCCCTCTCCACATGCTGCTGGGGCCTCCCTCTTCCCTGCACAGTTTCCTTCTCTGGTTTGTAGGGTCCCTCAACCTGCAGGCAGCACGAACCAGCTCCCCTCTCCCACAACCACATCTCCCCTGCTGCCCTGCACAGCCTCAGCTGCTGCTGTCGTGGTTCTGGGCAAGCACCCACCCAGGTGTGACCTCAGGGGCAGCCTGCCGAGGGGGTCTGGGGACACAGCCAGCCCACTTTAATTCAGGGATTTCACTCAGACATCTATTGGAAGCAGAGTCCCAGCTGTGTGTCAAATAGGCTGCTTCTGCCACCTACCAATGCCTGTTGGAAACGGCAGGGTCTCCCCTGGGACCCTGGGCAAATGCCAGAGTGTCTTTGGATCTGTTCAACCTTTGACGAAGGCTGCTGGTGGGAACAGGTGGGCACTGATTACTCTTAGAAAATGTTCCCTTTCTCTCCCCTCTCCCATTTCCCGCGACTAGCAGGGCCTCCCCGCTCGCGTGCTTCGGAGCAGCATGCTGGCTTTTCAGATCGGTGTCGACATACTGCTTCTGAGAGAACCGTCCAACCATCTTGACCAACTCCTTTGGTGGGAAAAACATTTCACATGCTGTTGCATGAACTAACCATGTAACTAACCCCTTTCTGAAGAATGTAGAGTGAATTCCGGGGGTTCATGATAATAAGCCCTTGGGGGGTGGGTTTCCTCCTCTGGCTCAGAAGGATCTCTTCACCCACGATGACCATTCCGGGCACCCCTTCCGAGCCAGAGCTAGAACTAGTGTAAAGGCAGAGACGCTCTTAGGAGGGGGGAGGGTGGAAGGAGCATTTTACTGTGTATCAAGATATGAGAGCAGAATCGCATTTTTGTTTTCTAAAACAGACACTTCGTATCATTGTACCTAAATTATGAACCAGCCTGCCCTCTTCTGAAAACAGAATATTTGATGTTGTCAGAGGTGCTATCTTTTGATTTTTTAATTTTACTGGGGGCGTTACATTTATTTTGTGGAGGGGCATATCTAGTGTGCTTTTCATCTCCTCTGCATGCGTTTGTACCTCTTCCAAGCCATTTCATACCTCTGGGCCTTTGCACGTGCTGCTCCCACTGCTGGAGCCCCGCCTTCTCCTGCAGCACCTCTCCCACCCTCAGTAACCAAATTCCTACTCATCCTTCAAGACTCAACTCAGACATCCCTTTCTCCAGGAAGCCTTCCTCCTGCCCCTAACCCGCGCCCCCCCCAACCCTGAGGCTCCTCCCCCCCCATCTCTCATACCCTGTGCAGATACTTCCCTTCTTTCTACCCATATTTTAAGTAAATTTCAGTGTGTCTCTCTTCCCTTCTAGACAGTAAGCTTTCTGGAACCAGTTAATGAATTTTAGTCATGGTTACATTCCTCGCAGAGATCACAAACCCTGGCAGGTAACTGGTGCTTAAGTTGGTGGTGTTTCCCCTGCCCTGACCTCTTCACAGCGCCTTCCTCTAGAACCTTCCTTCCTTAAGAAGAAATGACGTGTCCTCGGGCACACCTGCCATGACATTTTATTTTTATAGTGGCTAATGTATAGGGCTGCTCAACAAATTTAGCTTTGTAACCTATATGCTCTATCGTCTGCATGAAGAGTTCTTAAACTTTTTGGTCTCAGAACTCCTTTATAATCAAAAATTACTGAGGACACCATGGAGATTTTGTTTATGTGGGTTCTATCTATTGATAGTGTTATTGTATTACAAATTAAAATGGTGAAACTAAAAAACCCTAGTAACGCGTTTAAAAATAATAAGCCCACTACATGCTGACATAAATATTTTTGAAATGAAAAATTTTGTGAGAAAAGTGGCATTATTTCATATCAGGGTTTCTCAACCTTGGCACTACTGACATTTTGGACTAGACAATTCTTTGTTGTAGGAGGCTGTCTGTCTAGTGCATTGTAGATATTTAGCAGTATTGCCGACCTCTACTCACCAGATGCCAGTAGCTCCCTCCTCCTCCCAGTTATGACACAAAGTTGCCTAATATCCCCTGGGCAGGTGGGGAGAGAACATCTTCATCCTGGGTGAGAACTACGGTTTTATTATTTTGTGAGTCTTTTTAATGTCTCAATTAATAGAAGGCAGCTGGATTCTTACATCTTTTCTGTATTTAGTCTGTTGCAATATGTTGTTTTGGTTTAAGTGTGGGATGAAATTACACCCCTACGTGGATATGTCATTGGACAAGGGAGATGTATTTCAACAGCTTTTTAAGGTAATTGTGGATATTCTCCTTTGATGCTGTACCAAAACTCAGCAAGTGGTGGTTTCTTAAAGATTTGTTGCATTGGGGAATTTGAAACCATATCAATAAACTTTTTCTGCTACATTAAAATATATTGGTTTGTCTTGGACTTTGAGTGAACCCATGAAATTTTGTAACGTCATATATTAGTCATTAGGAAAATATGTATGCAGGTCATTTAAATGTTGACACATCTCATTATACAATATAAAAGAAATTACATTTGTTAATCTTATTAGAAAAGGTTTTTTAAAAAAAAAATTGATTATACATATTCATGGAGCACAGAGCTGACCATCAGCACCACCTGCACCCAAAATGTGGTAATCAGATCAGTACTATCAGCACACCCACCACCTCAGATTGCAGTGACTCCCTGTGTCCCCCTCTCAAAGCACAGAGAAGCTATCGAGGTCACAATAGCAGATGCAAGTTTCCCGAAACTCCAATTTCCTCTTGAAAGCTTGGATTTTATCACCAGCAAAAAATATTGCCAACTATCTTCCCTGAAGTGATTGGCTCACTTGGTTTTGAGAAAATGGCTGCCAAATACCAAAGTCTACGTAATCATACGTGATAAATTGTTCTTTCAAGTAAAAACAGCGTTCCATGTGGGCA